GTGATAGGCAGAAAGAGGCAGATGAACACAGATTCCACATTCCTGTTGAGGCTCCCTCACCTGGATTCCCACTGCCACGGCCCTGTTGCTCCCCATGGGTATTCTGGACCCAGTGCGGACTCAGAGCCAACCACTGACTCCCTCAGAGTGGCCGAGGCAGGCTAAGAGGACAACAAGAGGGTTCTGAGCCTACTAGATAGAACCCAGGCTCTGACCAGGCTGCTGCAAGCTTCTGCCCATCCCAACAGGCTAACCCACTTCTGCGGACACCCTGCTGGGGCCCTAATAGTTAGATGCCAGCTGGCTGCCCCATGGCACTGCCATGCTATCACCCACCACTTGGGAGCTCAGTCACCACTGCCCCAGAGAGACCTCCAACTTGCAGCCCCCTAAGGCTCCCCTCCAGGTCTAGCTTCCAATCAGTCATGCTCGCCCAGAAATAATGGCCTCTTCTGGGGAGCTGCCACCCCCTACCTGCACAAAGGATGGGCCCTGCTGCCTTCCAGCTCTACTAACACTGCAGTTGCCACAGCATCCTCAGGATCTGAAACAGACATGCAGTTGGTCAGGGGTAGAGGGGGCATCTGCCCAGTGGTATACTTCATTCAGTACAGAGGTTTTTCAAGCCAGTTGAGCCTCAGAAGCCCTCTTCCAAACAAAAGCTTAGGATATCATCTGGTTTGTAAAACCAACAGGAAAAACAACTCCAGCTGATGCAGGTAAGGGTCCAAATGCAGCCCCCACCCCAGGCTGTTGGTCACAGGGCACCTCAGCAGAGCAGTCTGAGAACTATGGTCTGGGGTCCCTGCCCCCTTTAAACCCCTGGTAGGGCAACCCCAGTCAACTCAGCTGTCCTAGAACTCTGCCACCAAGGTTCCCCTCACAGGCTCACTATATCCCATCAATAACCCCTCCCCCTCCTTCTCTCCATTTCTATGCAGAAAAGGCCAATGTCTAACCTTCAAGGCCTGCCTACACTCCCCAGCCAAACAGCCACCACATGGACGATGCCCTGTGTCTCCCTAAATTTGGGAGAAAACACTCAAACCATTTTTACAAAGATCCTCCCAAGAAAACTCCCAGAAATCAGAGACCCTGGGGAAGGTGGTTAAGGGAGAAGATTCTGGACCATGCCAGGAGGGAAGTCAGGCACAGGGGGCTTGGCTGGGCCAGTCTAACACCCTCAATGATCTCCCCTGCCAACTGCAACAGACATGAGCCAAGTACTATGCTAGGGACCTTTCACACACAATCCCACACACGGGATGCCCAGGCCCAACATTCAGTCTTGGTCTGCTCTATGTGCCCGAAAGCCTTCCCTGGACACTCATTAAGACTGATTCTACCCTGCCGTGAATTTAGGGGCCTCTGCCCATTGCTCTGGTCTCACATCTAGGCCCCATCTCTTCTGCAGGCCTGCAATTTCAAGGAAGCTCAGTTCCTTCCTGCAGCTGCCAGAAGATGCCCCCTTCCTGGGACTCAAGGAGTAATCTTCCCCTGCCCTGGAGGCCACTTCCTTGGATTCCAGCGGAGCAGCCTGAAAAAGCTGGAGCATCTTCCATATAGAGTGATGGTCACCCAGGACCCAGGGATCCCTCACACTCATACCATCCCAGAATACTCAGCCTGGAGGACCCCAGTAGTTTATGTGGAAAAAGGCAGAGGTTCAGCCCCTTATAGCTCAGTCTCCCAAGCTGGGGAAGGCTGGTCAGAGAGCCAGAGGCTGTGACACACCACAAAACTCAAAGCAATCCCTAGAGAGGCCCCACAAAAGTTTCCCTTTGGGCTCCTTGCAGTGACCCCCAGGTCCCTTGCTGTTCCATGAGACCAATCCTGCCCCAGACTCAAGCACATCTGCAATTGCCAAGATAGCAGCTGCTCTCCACCTCCCCAACCCAAAGCTCTGAGACCCACTCATCCCTGACCCTCATTCCAGCCTCTGGGGAGGCAGGTGAGCCTGCCAAGCCCTTTCTGCCCTCCTCCTGGCAGCAGGGTTCCTAGCCTCCCTCACCTCTCCTGAAACAGCAAGCTGACGGCTGCTGTCATTTCATCTGAAGAACCTTCACAGCAGTCCCAGATCCAGAGAGAAAAGGAAGAGCAAGCACACACACGCACACACAAGCATACACAGTTAAAGGCAGCCAGCTGTTGGAGCTGGTAGAGTCAGAAGTGCCCAGAGTCTCATTAGTAGCCTCCTTCCTCTGATCCCAGGGCAGTGAGGAAGAAGACAGGCTGAGAGGGAGCCTTATACTCTCCTCTCGCTGTCTCCTGGGCTGAGAGGCACAGGGCCACTCCTTGTACACTGCAGGCTGTAACCAGCAAACAGAGCCAGTCTCTTCCTCATCTCTCCCCTGGCTTTGTTCTCCAGGATACAAAGTCAGGGAAAACACAAGGGCAGAGGCGACCCCCATCTCCTGCCACCACAACAAGCTGAGGACCTTAAGCTATGCCTCCTCTGTGGGCAGCCTGGCCTCTTTCTCCCAGTTGGCAGCCAAGCCTCACAGACACCTCTAGGAGAAGCCCCTTGCTCTCCCTTGTACCCCTGGCTTCCTCATCCCAGCCCCCACCCCAGGAGAACTGAGTCCAGAGCACAGCTGACAGGCTCCCACAGGAGGGGAAGAAAAAAGGAAGGGCTTTCATCAAAGAGGTGACGTCAAAACCAGGCAACTTGTGAAGCTGTCAGGGGCCGGGAAATTTGGACAAAGGTGTCTAAAAATAAACCCCTGAAGCCAGGAAAAGGCTTTGGTGGCTGAGTTGCTCGCCACCACACCACATGTCATGTGCCCTGTTCTGAGGTCTAGAACCCAGGAAGTCTCATCCCAGGGGGTGCTCCTCCAGACTGGCTCTTGAGGTTGAGGATGGTACAGACAGGACCAGAGATACCGCAAACCAGCCCTTCCTTGAGTGAAATGAAGGACCACACCCCCAACCCCAAGGTGGCATGCAGAGCTGGCCTAAGGCACTGATGTCTCCCTTGCTGCACTCCTCACCAGCCGGCTCTCCCACCTCCAGCCCAACCCCAACCCTCAAGCACATCCCCCTCAGCACCCTTTCTGGCCGCCACCCTTTGGCTCACAAAGGAAACTTGCCTCTGTCCTACCTGTGCCCCCACCCTCCCACCACAACAGCCTTCCTGTTTCTAGGTCTTCTCAGCCCTGTTTCTTCAGCCCTATCCTTGACCACCAAGGCCACAGCTGGGGATCCAGGGCTTTACTTATTCATTCCCCAGCACTAACACCAGACTCACACCACCTTACCCAGGACCTGTCTCAGGTCCCATTTCTATCACCAGTGCCCTGTCCCTTGCCCAAAGCTGCTCTAGAAAACGAAGTCGCAATGCTCCTCCAAAAGCACCAAGCTCTCACTCAAGCTGACTCTCTTACCCCGTTCCCTGACCTCAGCCACACTGGCCAGGCCCTCTGCATAGCCCTTGCTGCCACAGGCTGTTCACTGACTGCCTGGTTCCACAAAGGCCAGCAGGCCCAGGGCAGCCTCCCAGGTCAATGCTGTCAACAGGGTGATGTCCCCAAACATAACCACCAGCCCGGCCCTCTCTGAACTCCAGACTCTACACATCTCCACATTCCCACTCATATGTCTCTAAGGCAGCGCCACTGACACAGCCCACAGAGCTGGTCTTTCCCCAAAACCAGGTCTTCCCTCAGTTCCCCACATCTCAATGAAAAGCATCACTATGAACCCACCTGCCCAGTCCGGAAGGAAGCAGAGCCCTCTGGGACTCCTCCCACATCCTCCCCTCCCCCAAAAGCCAATATACCCAAAGACCATCAGTTCTACCCCAAAACACATTGTAAATCTCCACCCTTGTCTGCATCTCTACTGCCACTGGCCCAGCCCACAGTGCTGCCATTCACATTGGCATTCACGACAGCCTCCTAAAGCACCTTCACCTAGTCCAGTCTCACCCTGCCTGGGGATGGGACAGCCCATCTTGTATACATGTGGCTCTGATCGTCTTACTTTCCTGGTTGGAACACTGCAGTGACATCCCACTGCATTTATATCAAACTTGTACTACTCATCCTGCTCCACTTACAACGTTCTTGCCTCTTCTCCAAAGGCTCTTCTAGGACTCTGCCTTGAGGTTTCTTCATCCAAGAGGCTGTCCCTGACCACTCTGTCCAAGTTGGTTCCCCGACTTTTCTCACCATATTCTTTCCTAGCACGTGTCCCATTTTTGTCTGGCAATTATTACCTATCTTCATCACCTCACTGCAAAAGCTTATTTCACATAACAACATTTCACATCATGCCCAGCACAGCACCTGGCACACAGACACTCAATAAAGTTAAATTAATAAATAAATAATCACTTCCAAGCCCAAACTGGGGTCATTTCCCAGGTTTACAACATGTTTAGAAGAGGAGAGATGTACAACAGAGCAAATTTTTAAAATCTCTGTAGACAGAGGCCCCCGTCAGGCCTCCTGGTGGCTGGCTCTCCTCCGTCATCCAGGCAGGCTGGGCTGCCAGCATTGCCCAATGACCAAGTCAGAAAGTAAAGGAGACAGAGCCTGCCATTGCTGCTCCAGTCCTGTGCTCAGCGAGCAGATGCATAAGCCCATGCAGAGGCAGGGCCAGGGCAACACATGGATGCCTGGGGCCTACCCAGCCACTAGGAGCCTCAGGCCTCCAGAAGGATGGGGACAAGGTGGGCCTATCCATCCATCTGAGCCAGAGTGCAGGCTGAGCACTAAAGACGTGTCTGGTCAAAGCCACAGCCGAACTGATGAGGCCACATATCTCAACAAGCTCTCCATGTTCTTGGGAGACACTCTGGCCCCGATAAGTTCTAGGTCATTTGAAAGGGATGCCAACAGACTCTGCCCATCTTCCTAGCTCCACAGGCACCTGCTCCATAAAGGCCCCACAGTGCTGCTCTCCCAGAACCATCTCTTCCTCTCATCTTGGGCAGTTCTCCCCAGTTCCCACCTAAGGGACCTGGCTACCCCGACACACACACCAGTCCTGTGCCTCACCTTGATGTAGGTGTCCAATGCAGGATGGACACGGCGGGTAGCCAGCCAGATGGATAGGGCAGTGGTGTACGGGAAGGTGGCTGTCACCACGTGGCTGGGTGCCGGGAAGGAGAATACCTTGAAGCCAAATTTCTGGTAGAGGTGGATGAGCTCAGGGGAGGGTGACTCCTCACCTTCACTCAGAATACTGCCTACTGCACAGCGGCACTTCTCAGGGAGCACCTGGGGAGGCAGAGCAGGGATGTCAGAGTTGGGCAAAGGAAAGAGGTCCTCAGACCTTCTGCCTCAGCTCAGGCCATGCAGCCCCAGATACCAGGATGGAGCTGGCTATTTTCCTGCTGGAACCCATCTGTGGCCCCTGCCTATATGGTATCCTGTTATAGGACTTTCATCCACCCCTTCATTTACTCCTTCAACAAACATGCCACGCCCCATGCTGGAGACCCGTGAGTCATGGTGAGGAATCAGACTTGGTCTCTGCCCGCTAGAAGCCCAGGAGAGGAAAAGACAGTGAGGACCTCTGAACCATCGCCCTCCACACAGCCCACCTGAGGGGGGCCCCCACTCTCCCAGGGCCATTGGCAGGACTGCAGGCGAGCTGATGCTGGGGCCTGGATCCAGCACAGCCCTATTAGCTAACTACCCTCTTACCTCTGGAGGAGAGCAGGCTTCCCTGGCAGAGAAATTATGGCAAGCAAGGAAGCAAAACTGTGGAGTAGGTAAAAAGAAAAGAGCCCAGAGCCCTTAAGTGTCATGCCCCAGGAAAGCAAGAGTGCATGCACGTGTGTGCATGTGCGTGTGCATGCCTGAGCACAGGTTAAAGAGGACAGGGTAAGAACGTGGCACCTGGCTGTGGAGGGGCTATGGGAAGTGCTGGTCAGGACGTGGGATCATGTGCAACTCTGGGTTACTGATGTTAATTCTGCAGGGAATCCTCCTAGTCCCTCGGGTAGAGCCAGCCACCATCACCAAGGCCTCCAGACCTCTCCTCCAACCCATGCCCCATCCCGGACTTGCCCCACTTTTCCAGTCCCTTCCTGGCTAAGCCAGAGACTGCTCATTCCCCTCCAAGTCTCTCCTGGACCCCTACTGCCTGCACTCCTGACTCCCCTCCCCACCTAATCTCCCTCCCCTGGCTCCCAGAAACCCCAGCCAGGTGGGGCTCTTAGGTGAGCCTCCAACACTTTCTAGGACTGACCAAAGGCCTGCAAGTCCCAGCACTCACTGTCCTCCTGGCATCAGAGGGCCCTAGTTCGTCTTACCTTCTGCTACCTATTTCCCATGTCAGCTTTCTTGCCACCTAAGTCTGTACCAGCCCTGAGGGTGGGCCTCCAGGGGAATGTGTTCCTGAATCCAGAAGACTCACCACAGATCTTGTGTTCTCAATCCCAGGTTTCACTTGATCTGAAGCCTCCTTTCTCCTACTACTTCCACTTACTCCTCTCCCCAGCCCACCTTCCCAGCACTGTGAAGTCATTATTACCTGTGCTTGCCTCTGCACTCCCATTACAGCCCTTTCCAAGCCCTGACAGCAATCTTCTGAGGGTTTCTTGGCCCTGATAGGTCCCCTCTACTCTGGCCAACCTAGCCCTGCCTTAGAGTCACACTTTGCCTAGGACTTCGGCACCTATTTCAGGCTCTCACCTCTGAGCAAACCCCAGGCATCACGCCCAGCTCTCCGTGGCACTGGTTCCCTTGCTGTCCCCTTTGAATCCTATGGCATCAACCCTGGCTCAGAGTTTTAGTGGCAGGCAATATCGTGCAGTGGTCAAAACCACAGCTGGAGAGAGGCAGGCCAAGGTGTGAATCTTGGGTTGTGTGATCCTGGACCAGTTCCTTGGCTTTTTGGAGCCCAGTTCCTTGATATCTACTAACAGAACTGTCATAGTAAATGAGATACTTCATGAGGGTTTATCCCAAGTCCAGCACTCAACAAGTGCTCCATAATTGTTGTTAGTTATTAGTAGTTGTGATACAGTCCACCCAAATGCCCATCCACCCAAACCTCTGAATGCAGCTCCTTCCCGCCCATCCTTCAGGTTCAAATGCCCGCTTGGGGAGCCTTTCAAGGTGGCTCGGTGGCATCCCCCTCCTCCCCCAACACTCCCCAACCCCCAATATTTTGCTGTAAACTTTCTTGCCCACATCAAGTCTACCTGGCAACACAGTTACTTCTCTTGACTTGAAGCTCCTCCCACCCCACCCAGGCAGAGGCACAGATCACTGTAGTACCACCTTTCGTCTCTAGATGGTGGAACTGCCCCACTCATGCCCCAACACTTGATACTAGCCAGATAGGCAAGAAGTTCTGGCAGGTGGACAGATCAAGGGACAGTACCTGCCACAAATTCATGTCCCCAATCCCAGCAACCTATGCTGTACATCCAATATAGGTTAAGTGGAGAAATGGGTAGAAGGTTACTTATCTCTCCTCTCTGCCCCTTGGCCTGCCTGGGTTTGGGTCCCCGGGTCTTTCCTGAATCACTTCAGCAGCTTTCATGGGGCTCCCAGCTCAATTCCCTCTTCGGTCCCCCAAAGACACCGGAACACATGAACACCCTGCTTAGAATCTCTCAATGGTTCCCAATTCACATCTAGAATGAAACTAAATGCACATGCCCAGCATGCAAGGCTGTTGCTTAGAGTGGCCCATACAACACTGCCCAGATTTGTCCACACACTCACTTTGCACTCCCTTTCTGTAGCCCCAGGCCCCAGTAGGGGCCAGAGCCCAGACGGGCAGGCACCCACTGAGTATCTGCGTGGCAGAGGGAGGGACAGATCCAGGCTCTGGCCAAGCCTGCCTTGCCAGCCTCCTCACCCGCCACACCCCCGCACATGCCCACATGGAACTATTTGCAGCTCCCCAACAGGCCACGTCCTCTCATGCTTCCTGCCTTTGCGTAAGCTACTTCCTCTGCCTGAAATGTCCTTCTTCACCCTATTCCAGTGTCCCTTCTGCCTGGGAAACTCCTGCCCATCCTGTAAGATTCAACTCAACCCTCCTCCTCAAAGCCTTCTGTTGTTCCCCACCAAGCAGCCCCTCCTCTCTGATCCCAAATACTGAGTAAACCAAAGTTTCATGCTGCACTGTAACTGATGGCCTCCCCATCTGTGCCCCCACTTCAGGCTTCTAGGCAGAAGGGTCTAGGATCTTGCGCACACAGAGAATTCTTGGGGCATGATCAGTGATAGTACATGCATACACACACCTGCACACACAGGCCCTGAACCATGAGCAAACCTCTCCCTCCACCTGGAGAAAGGGAGGAGCTCCTGTCACAGTGGAGGGAGGTAGCTAACAAGACAGGGTTCCCAGGATCCTGGAGATGTGTGGAGCATAGGGGCTCTCTTCCTGCCTGAGCAACACCCCAATTCCACAGGTGAGGACAATTCCTGCCCCCTCTCCTGCCCTGGCCAGTGGCTAAGATGCAGCCTAAGAGATCTCTCAGCAAGCCCACCACCTGCTAAGCAGCCCTGTGTCAAGCTGGAGCCAGGAAGCAGCCGAACCAGGCACCAGAAAGGAGATGGGACAGACCCTAAGATAATCCAATGAGTGGCAAGTCTGGTCCAATAGAAGAGAAGGCTTCCTTAGCCTCCCAGGAAAGCCCAGACTCTCCTTCAGGGGAACAGCCTACTAAGGTTGTCAAGGGCTCAGAAGGTAGAGATCCCTAATGGCAAGAGACCCCATTCATCTTGGGTCAATGAAACATCCTTATTTGAGCTTAACCTTGAGATGTAGGCCAGGGCCTCCTAGTTCTACCTGCCCGCTCCCTTTGCTCCCAGTATCAGCCATTTCTCTGGGTACCTGTGCCCAGAAAAAAGAGCTGGACCGGAACTAGCACCAGCAAGGAACCATACCAGGGAGACAGAGCAGTGGCTAGACCCACCACCACTTTGGGTAAAGGCAACCTCACCCAGGATCTGCCCTTGAAGCAAGAGTACCAGGAAAGAGACAGGGGCATGCCAGGCCCCAGAGCATCTCCTTTGGACTGTGAAGCCTCCTGAGTCCTAGCATTGTAAGAAGAGGACAGTCTGCTTAGAACCTGAAGCTTCCATGTATGAGCTGGTCCAAAGGCTGGTCCCCGGCTCCTTCTAACCCTGTTGTGTGAGACCATAGTGAAGAGAGCCATCTCAGGGCCCCTGCCTGGCCAAGACTTCACTGAGTCTGGACACTGGACAAGACTGATATCTTCCAGTATCCAGTAAAAAGAAATGGTGTCAGCTGGCCCGGACCAAACTGGGCTATTGGGTTCAGTAGAACTGGCCAGCCCAGGCTCACAACCTGCAAAACCTGACAGGGACAGCTACACCATCTGCCAACCCCAGACCCAGAAGGCTGCCCTGATCCCTCCCATGCCAGCCCCCCCACCCAGAGCTGTCCAAAATAAGGAGAGGAGAGGCAGTGCCCTACACGGGTACTCCCAGAATAACAGAGCAGCTACACCTGCCCATTACTGGAGGTTGGATGCAGGGCCTGGTTTACCCTCCCAGGTGCTATAGGTCAACATACCAAGCCCTATGTGTCCAACTTCTCTGAGCAGCTGGTGCCCAAAGGCACACCGTGGCAGGTACCAGTCAGGAAATGGGATGATGAAGACAGCCAGGCCAGAGGACAGGACCCATCCTTCAGGCTTGAGGGGAAGGGAGGAGACAATAGGATGCCAACCTTCAAAGGGAGGTCCAGGGGCTTTCTGAAAATTCCCACTTAGAAGTCTTTAGGAACCTTCCTCTTTTCCTCCCCACAGAATAATCTTAACAACAACAGCTGGTATATGACAAGGCATTCACCCAGTAACTGCCTTCCACACATCAGCTTGTTAAATCCAGACAGCCCCCTGAGGTAGGTACCATTATCAACCCTGCTCCTAAAGCCCAGAGAACTAAGCCACTCAGCAAAGGTCACACAGCAAGTCAGTGTTGGAGTCAGGATTCACACCCAAGCAGACCAGCTCCACATCTGTACCACACAACCCACAACCACTTGGGAGAACGAGAAATAGGCCCTGGCTAGGAATAGGCTTCACAATGGCTTTTCCCTGCACTGCATCTCCTGGCATGTCTCAGGCGACCTGCAGGAGGCAGGGTTCCGAGGAGTACAAAGTCCCACTGGCACAAGGCCCTCAGAGGCAGGGTTGGACATCAAGAGTGCTATGTACGGGCCGGCCCCGTGGCGCGCTCGGGAGAGTGCAGCGCTGAGAGCTCAGCGATGCTCCCACCGT